TATTTATTTAAGGGGGGAAAAAAAAAAGGGTAAATTAACGCAGCATCATTGATCTCAAAGCTAGTGGAATCGGACCAGTTTTCATCAAATCTGAATTTGGTCAGTCATTCGTTTCTCCCCCTTCACCAGCCATCGATTACAAAGTGTACAGAAGTCAGCCTCCTCCTTCTCAATTATGTCTTCCAGTGCCTAAGCACAAAAAAGTTTTACCAGGAACTATTCAACGCCTCTTCACAGAGGGCTCTTTTAAATGCTACCTCATCAGAAAGTTTGTCATAGCCACTGTAAAAGTTGGTTAAAACAAAGAGTTGCTAAAGAGTATGTACAGCTATGATCAATATATTTTCTGTAATCAGAGTTGAATAGAGGCAAGGATTTTGGAGAAAATAGCGCATTAAGCTATATAATTTATACCTGTTTGGATCACATCAGATCATTTAAGTATTGCATGGCAGCATACTATTTTATTTTGTAGTTGCGAGAGTATAAAAGCTTACAGTATTCTCCTAAACTCTAATATTTAGAGTTTCATATAAGCAGTCAGCTTTCATTTATGTCAGCGCAGCCTACAAGAACCAACGTGCGTGCTGCGTACGGAGAGATTTCCTCGGTTCTGCTTGAGAGAACTTTGGTTGTGGATGAGGTTTAAAAAGCAGGATTAGGACAAATGTGAACAAGTTAGCAAACGTTCTGTTAATAAGAATGTAGCAGTCAAGTTACAAATGCCCCACGAGTGATTTATGAGTGTAGTCCTTTCACCCTACGCGGTTTGTCAGCGTTGGCCCTTGCGTGGCAGCCACTAGATGTCAGATAAGCCAAATGATTACTTTCTGACTACATTTTTTTTCGAAAGGCATTTGTGTACGTAGGTCCAGGTACTCTACAGAAGTCAACGGAGATTTAAAACCAGTGCTATGCTCTTTTCAATGCATTTGATTTACCTCCTCTTCCTTCCCAAGAGCCATTTCTATATCTGTCCTGTAGGTTTTGGAGAATGTATGACATCTCATAACATCAAGTGCATTTGTCCAGCCAAAAGCGGTGGAACGCTTGTTATTCACACAATTGCCACTTAAAATATATAGCTATAACTGACCAGAAGTAGTGTAATCCATCGGTATGTGATGTAACTGGATAGTTTCAAAGCACTAGAGCTTGTGAAGCACTTGATCGTGCTGAGAACTCCTTCAAGTCAGCCTGATGAACCTCCTACCTTTTAAAATAAATAGAGCGTAAAAAATGCGTGTGGGTTGAGGTTTTTTGCCTTGTTAATCTGAGGAAGACGGAAGGTGCTCAGCACAGTGTTCAGTTTCTGTACATACACCCTTATTCACTCACTCTTAAGCCTCATTCCTGTGAGGATTCTTCATGGAAAACACCTTCCAACAGAAGAGGGCTGGGCAAAATACTCCCAGACAGGAGCTGCTCCTTATCAGCCAGCTTCCTAGGCGTAGTATGCTTCTCCTTCTGTTCTTCCTAGTCTTCTACCCATTTGAAACCACGTATGCGTTTTAAATTCCCATAAATAATAACATGGAATAACACCTTCACACTTGAACAGTCATAAAAATAAATGTAAATGAACGGCTCTCAAATTATGAGTTCCTTATGCATTTTAATAGTTTGCTGCTGCCCACAGTTCCACTCTCCAGGGCACTCGGACTCGACCTGCGGGTGAACGGGTACAGCGCTAACACCCAGGCTGGTCAACGTCTCGTCATAAATGGTACAGATGTCTCCAAGTTCTTCAGTGCATACAGAATTAGTTCCTAGATAGGCTGTACGTCTTTTTAAACTTGGTGCCAAGTTGTTTGGTTTTACATCCTAGAGTGTTTGAAACTGAGCCATAGGATTTGTACTTGCTGGTTCTAAATTTAAATGTAATCTATCATGTATGTCATGCCAAGGAGAGCAAACCTGCAGGCATCTGCTCATTCGAGGCACCTGCGAGACGTGCTGCGGAGTAAGCTGTACGTGTGTAAATTTTGTGGCAATGGAAAAAGGAATAAATGGACTGTCAACGTAAAGGATCGAAGTCAGTCATGTGAGATGTCTGTATGGTTTTTGTCAGCTTTCTGCTTTGGAAGCCTTGCAAAGGCCGATGGGTTTTTTTGTTTTCTGGTTAATTTATGAGAGTCTCGCATTATTATTCCATCAGTCAGAAGCGGGCAAGGATGTAACTCGTTACTTTTTGAGCAGTTGTAATCAATGTCTGGTTTTGCTCATCTGTGCCACCTTTAAGCTCTGAGGAAGCTCGCTGTGTTTAGCTGCAGTGCTGCATCCACTACACGCACCGGCTAGCGACCGAGCTCTGCAGTTTGTGTCATTAGTGTGTGCTGGCAATGAATGAGAGCTGTAACTGCAGGGAAAGCCTTGCCCAGCCCTAGGCTCTGAGCTCTGCAGGAGAAGCAGCACGCCCAGAAGTCTGTACAAAGACCTTCAGAGGTATCTATCCAACTGTCCTTAGTTCCCTTCTGAAAGTTTAAGTCAAAATGAGTAAGTTGTCCTCCGTACTCTCCCAGCTGGCCTCCCTCTCCGGTGGTTTCTCCAGCCGCTGGCAGCTTTGGTAGCGCAGAGTCCGTCTGCCTTCTCCTGTAGGAGCGAAGCCGCCGGTGCTGGCCCTTGCAGCCCCGCAAGCTCTTTTCCTTTCCCGTGCCAGCACCAGGAGCTTCCCTCGGCTGCTGCCAACCAGCACCTGGCACATCAAAAGGCACAGCCCTTCGGAAGGGCTGAAAAAATGTCATGTTTTACAACCATGAGAACTTATTTTAAAAGAACCGTTCAACAAAACACGTTTTCTGACCTTTGCGTTATATACGGTATGCTGGGTAGAATTAGGTGAGGATCACACACCTCCGAAATGTTTTTTTTTTGGTTATAAACTGTTGACAGAGGTCACAACTGCAGCTGCCTCGACAGCCACCTGTACAAAATTCCGTATTTCAGACAAGTGGGTACAACGGTCACCTCCTAGTGAGAAAGGCGTGGGGAAGCTTAAGGGCATTCAAATCGCGATTGAGTATAATTGTTGGGGTAATTCCTCTTGGTGGTCTGTACACTTGACAGGTTCCTGTGTGGTTTTTCTTGTGCCTCTTTTACAAGCCGTGAAATACTCTCTGTTGTCAGGCAAACCCTGTAGGCTTCATGTCATGACATGGGCTTTCTGTCAAGAGGGTAAAGAAGAAAGAAGTCCATGCTCTGGTCTTAAAGGTATTTTTTTCCTTTAAGGCAGTGATGTAAAGCTGTATGAAAATGATTCATCCCCGCTATTAAAGGATTGAGCAGAACCAGCCTTTTTTTTCCTGGATCTCAATGAGTGTGTTCTGTAATTAGTGCCCTTCCTAAAGGAATAATCCTGCTGCCAAAGTGAAACCCTTGACTTCAGTAGTTGCAAAGACGCGGCTCTGGCAGAAGTCTGACACCCATCTGGTATCAACCCTCCTTTTCCAGGACAGGGCTCTGCATCCTTGGGCACAAACAAGTCTATTCTCTGTCCTGCCTTCCCGTTCCTTTTTTTTCTGGATTCTCCCCATCTCCAAGCAGTCACGTACACTAATGAGAAGACGCTAAAGCTGTATTTTTATCTGATTTAACCCTTACCAAATCTTTTTTACCAGCTGTACTTGGGGTTTTTTCTTATTGGGAATATGTATGGTAAGTGAATACTTACCCATCTTAATGGAGTTACTGTGTTTTGGCTGTGTTTAAGACGTGCAAGTACGACATTTTACAAAGAATTGTCTCCTTTTGGGGGGAGTAGGGGTAGATCTCAGTGTGCCTAACCTACCTCTGCCCAGAAAGCTCATAGTGCCGGGAAGTACCGCCTGAAAAGCAAATTATGTGCAATTAACAAATTAAATACAAACTCAATTCTTTGTTGCGTGTACTGTTTTGCAGAGTTGAAAAAAAAAAAAAAAGGTCTCTGAAATTTTCTCTGGGTTTTCTTTATAGCCTTATTTCTAAAGGCAAAGATTTTATTCCTAATTTGGGCTGTGTCACGAGCAGCCGAGTGTGCGTACAACAGGGTAAAGTCCACGGGAGGCAAAAGGGCAGTGCAACTGCCAGCCGCATTCAGAAGGAAGAGATAGATGGAAAACTAAGAATAGCTTTGCCCATTTTCAGGAAGGAACCTTCCCTCTGATGAGGCCCTTACTAGCTCTCTGCTGTGCCTCAGCAGGTGATTTCTCCCAGCCTTGCTTTGCATTTAAGCGACGTAGACGTCGCTTAAATGCCTGGATTGTGGGAGGTGATGCCTGTTCCCACACCCACGCAGGGCAGAGAGGCTGGCATCCTCCCTGCTCATGGCAAGTCATCTTGGGAGGTGGTGGAGTCATCGTCCCTGGAGATGTTCAAAAAACGTTTAGATGTGGCACTTCAAGACATGGTTTAGTGGACAGGGTGGCGTCAGGTATACGGTTGGACTTGATGACCTTTGAGGTCTCTTCCAACCATAGTGATTCTATGATTCTATGATTCTATGATTCTTAGACTCACAGGATGCCATTCAAATACACCTTCCAAAATAGTTTCCTTCCAGAGCCCAAATGTGGGCTGCCCTTGAGCTCGGCCTTAGGAAAAAAAATTACTCTTTGCCGGGGAGTAAGAGGCGTGGGAGTGAAGTTGGTGCTTTGCTCAGTGTTTATCCAGGGGTGCAGTGAATTTGCAAAACATCCTTGTACTGGGTGGAACAGAGCAAGAAAGCTGTTGGCAAAATATCACCGTAGGGCGTAATTAGAAATGGGAGAGGTCGTCTGCGTTTGGCTGCATTTCTTACTGCCTAACCCCTCATCCCAGTGTTTACGGAGTCTGGAAACTGCTTTTATCAAGGCTTTCCTCTGACCGGTCCCTGAAAGGGGGGCTGACTCCAGCGTATCAGAAAAGGGCAGGAAAATATATTAATTTACAAGTTATTAAATAAATAAACACCCCTGTGGAGGCATCTGTTTTCCTGGGTGTAGAGTTACTTAGGCTGGGTCGGGCTGAGGATTTCCTGGCTTGCTTTACGCTGGGTTGCAGAAACGAGGCTTTTGCACTTCGCTTTGTGGGTCCACTCGCGCGGTTTCATTGAACAAAGCCCCTGCAAAATCCCTGGGTTATGAAATATTTCCTCTCCGTCGGGTCCCGGACAAGAGAGAGCATCAGCAGAGCCCGAAAAGGAAGTCCTTGCCTTATAGAGAGCGCTGGCGGTGTGACACAATGGCTGATATAAAGTGTCGGGGGAGCTGAGCCGAAGGCAAAGGAACAAAGGAAGATCAAGATTCGGTGGCTGTCTCGGACAAAAGCAAAGCGGAAAGTGTCTCGGGGATGGATAAATTTAAGGCTGCGCTTGTGCTGGCTGGGGTAGGGGATGCTCTCGGTTATCGCAATTTCTCCCGAGAAAATAACGCCTTAGGTGCCAAAATCCAGCAGGAGCTGAAGGAGATCGGGGGGCTCGAGAACCTGGTGCTCTCTCCCGACAAGTGGCCCGTAAGTGACAACACGCTCATGCACATGGCTACGGCAGAGGCTCTCGTCACAGGTAGGTACGGCGGGACGAGCGGACGCAGTCTGGAACAGCACAAAACCGTCGAGCTTGGTCTTAGAATAAGCCTGAGTGCCGGGGAAGTGATGAGAAAGCGTGTCAGCGGGGCTGCTGATGTGAAGGGTGATGTGCGTTAGCTTGTCTCCTCCGTGACCATAATCCTGCCACCGCCACGCAAACTGGGGAGTTTTCATTCCTTGGGTGTGGAGGGGCTCTCCCTAGATTTCCCCTAGGTTTGTACAGTCGGTTAAAGCTTAAAGACTAAAATACTGCATGTCCAGCATAACAAAAAAAATTGCCAGGTAGATAATCTGTGGGCTGGAATCCATCAGGGAATAACACAGCCCCTGGAGATTCTCTGCGGAAGGTAAGAGCTTTCCTAAGTGCATTTTTTAGCATGTTTGTGCCCAGACCTCCAGGCTGGAGCAGTCACCTCGATACCCCTTTCAGGCTGAAATCACTGGCCCTGTCTCCTCTGCGCTGGCCCTCGGGCAAAGGTCTGACTGCACGGCCAGGAAAGGAACGATTTGCTTCATAAAGAGAGCTCTGTGTCTTTAGTCCGAAACACATTCTCACGTACTACGGTTATAACAAAGTCCATCAGAATAGTGGAAGTTATCAATGTCTGTCTTCTAAAATCACAATAGTTTGAGAGAGAGCATTTGGTTTTTCTTAAGGCAGGAATAGTCTTTTGTAAGACACGACGATCCTTGTATCTGCACCTTACCCATCGAACCAGAGCTTTCTGAGGCCGTCAAGATCATTGTCAGAAGCACCCCAGAAGACAGTGGCCGTTCAGCAATATTTTGCCTCTTCAGAATGAATCAATTTTTTAAATCTTTGTAAAAATATTCCTAATTTTTCCTAAACCCCATAACTCTGGATAACTAACAGTAGCAGAAGCTCACAACGTAGCTGAGTACCCTTCACGTCAATGAAATTTCCCTTGTGCTTTTGTTTCACTGTTTTATCCGCCTGCTTCCAACCGGCTCTAAATTTAGTAGGTAGAGATCAGTTGAGGAGTGTGTTGGACACTTCATACTTGGCTGTTAGCTGGCCAATGGTTTCAGGGGTAGCTAATACCCTAAAGATAAGGGCAAGGTGTCAGCCTATCAAGAAAAAAGATGACTAACATATTTCTGAATATAGGCTATGATTAAATACGTATCAAATGTCTCTTGCTTATTGAGCTCTCTAAAGCCACAACTTCTGGGTAATCAAGCCAGTTAGACTAACAGTAAAATAACAAATCTTATTTCTTAAATAGAGCACTGTGGCTCTAAAGAAAAAAGTCTCAGCTCTAATTCCCATCGGCTGTGTTTATCCTACGCTCTCCGTTCTTTGGCCGGATCAGACAAGCTTTTTAAAAAGGTGCTTTTATGGGCTGGTGAGAAAAAAATAAGCTGGAGTGGGGGATTTTAGTAAGAAATCTTCTTTTCATTGTAACGTTGGCAAATGAGGGAAAACACGTCCTTCTCTCTGCCTCCCACAAGGGAAGCCCAACCGCTCCTGCCCGCAGCAGTGTCTCCTCCTGGCAAGGGGAACACGAAAAAGCCACCGGGCTTGCTCACGGCCCAGCCCGCGTGCCAAATCACCCAAGTCAACAGAGTGAAGCTAAAGAGGATGAACGTGGGTCTGTGAGGCTGAAGGCAGCTGCCACCAGCCCCCAGGGACCTGCCTTCCTCAGAGGGAAGCCCTCACTACTGCAGAGACTGAGATTTTACAGAATATATTGGGTGTCTGGAACATCACCAGCCAAAAAAAAAACAAACAAAAAAACCCACCAAAAACAAAAAAGGAAAAAAGGAGGAGGAATAAGCAATAAAACTCTTCCCGCCCCTCACTGCCCCGTTCAGCTGGCTGCCCCCCGGCAGCATCCCCTGGGTGCGTTCCCGCAGGTACCCGCGGATGCTCCGGGCTGGGCTGGCTGCGGGAGCTGCTGCAGACTGAGCTGGTGCTCCCCAAATCCCCCACGTGCCCAGAGCGAAAGTCGATCCAACAAAGAAGGATA